CGTAAGCCTCTCTGTAAGGGTGCCAATTTTGGAAAAAATTGGTTGATGTCAACCTCAGCCACAGATGGCAGCACCTTAGACTTGAATTTTTAATTATTTATTTTTCAAGTAACAATAACGGAGATCCTACTCTTTCATTTTTATTCAATTTACATGAAACTTACACCTTATATGTAAACTTTATGTCTCTAAAATCTGATGCCAGCGTTTGGTCCTAAGTCTATTTATTGATTTTTATAATAGCAATAAACATGATATATTTGTATAATTTTGGGGGGAACTTTGACTATTTGTATTAGTAAAACTAAACACATTTTGGAAAATCCGTGGCATCAGATCCTTTAATATATGCTAATGTGTCAGAAAAGTGTCATAGAATGATTATATTTGAAACTTGTGGTTGTAGTGACTTACTGAAAATGTGTAATATTCGTTGAAAAAAATTAAATCTCCCTTTCCATTTAGGCTGCAGTACTGAAACTTGGAACACTTGCAGTCCTTTTCATATAAAACTAGCCAAAAAAGATTTGTTGACATTGTTCAAAGTTTTAAAAACTAACTCATGGCTCCTTATATGAGCGAGAGATTTCAAAGTATTTATATATATATATATATAAATACTTATATAGAGCAAAGTCATTCATGGATTCTACTTTGCTCTGATGAAGGCGAATTAGCCGAAAACGCGTTAAGCATTTTCTATTTTTCATATGTGGTTATTCTGCATACTTGGATCAGTGTTTTTGTGATCATTGTTGCATATATATATATATATATATATATATATATATATATATATATATATATATATATATATATATATATATATATATATATATATAATCATACAACCAATATATATACATTCATACAACCAACCCTGAGGACAGCACACTCCTAGGTGCTCCTCTTGGAAGGAATGCCATCGACGGGGTCCTTGGTAAGAAGATCACTGACCTGAAGAGGATGAACGAGAGGATTGAAGACATCGATGCTCATGATGCACTTTACCTCATCACCAGATGCTTGTCCCTCCCCAGGCTGACCTACTTTCTAAGATGTTCGACATCTTTCAACAATATTAAATTAGAAGAGTACGACAGCTTGCTGAAATCAACACTAGAAATGCCCTCAATCTTTCCCTCAGCGACTTACAGTGGAAACAGGCCTCCCTTCCTGTCAGACTCGGGGGCCTTGGCGTGCGCACAGCAACACAAATTGCTGTACCAGCGTTCCTGTCCTCTTCAGTGGGGTCTGACAACTTGGTGAAGGAAATCCTACCTGAGCACCTAGTTTAACAGGCAGGGGTACATGATCCCAGCTTCACAGACTGCACAATCAAATGGGTCTCTCTTGCAGGACCAGCACCCCAACCAACGCCTTCTGAAGCCCATAAGCAATCCAGCTGGGATCGCCCCATTGCCGACCAAGAAGCTGCGATTTTGCTAGAAGTTGCGACAACACCCCATGACTCTGCCCGACTTAGAGCTGTAGCAGCTCCCCATGCAGGTGATTTCCTATTAGCAACCCCAATGTCAGCAACCGGCACCCGTCTCACACCGCAGGCCCTCCGAATTGCCGTGGCTCTCCGCCTCGCTGTCCCAATCCACACCGAATACAGGTGTATTTGTGGCGAGGCAGAGGCCGACAGATACGGACGGCATGGCCTTCTCTGCTAAAGGACAGGAGGATGGCATGCAAGACACGGCGAGGTCAATGACATTATTAAGAGAAGCCTTACCACAGCCGGTTGTCCAGCAGAGAGAGAGCCCCGTTACCTAATGTCCCTGGTGACCCTGTCGGTCGCCCAGACGGAATCACGGTGAACCCCTGGAAGAATGGTAGACAGTTGGTGTGGGACTAAACTTGCGATTCAACTTTAGCCAATACCTATGTTGACTTCAGTGCTGCACAAGCAGGAGGAGCTGCCAATCACCGGGAAGCGGCCAAGTCACGTAAATACAGAGACCTTGAGCACCACTACAATTTTGTCCCCATTGCCTCCAAGACATTTGATGCCTGGGGTAAAAGTGCTGCTAGCTTTTTGAAGGAGTTGGGGTCTAAGCTAATCGAAACAACTAGAGACCCTAGAGCTGCCAGTTTTCTTTTTCAGCGCCTTAGTGTGGCAATCCAGAGAGGAAATGCTCACTGCATTCATGGTTCCTGCCTGCCATCTGAGGAGCTGGAGGAGCTGTTCAACTTGTGACAAGCAGCCTTGTTCCCTGCATGTAATCAATATTGTAACTTTTTTTGTGTAATGACATTTTCAAATAAAGTTAGATAAATATACACACATACCAAAAGAATAGGGGTGGTAGGAGAAGAAAATATCAAAGTGTTCAGTGAGGATCCACAAGGTCTTCTCTGAGTACTCTTTATTTTCTTCTCCAAGGCTATGGGTCCCTACACTTGCACCAGAGGTGGTACCCCTTCTAGGTAAAAAAAAAAAAAAAAATTATATATATATATATATATATATATATATATATATATATATATATATATATATATATATATATATATATATATATATATATATATATATATATATATATATATATATATATATATATATATATATATATATATATATATAAAGTTTGTGAGGGTACCACCTCTGGTGCCAATGTGGGGACCCATAGCCTCGGAGAAGAAAATAAAAAGTATTCAGAGGAGACCTTGTGGTTTCTCACTGAACACTAATATTATCTTCTACCACCCCCATTCTTTTGTATGTACACATATATATTTACTTTATTTGAACTTTGTTACAAAAAAGTATGTTACAAAAGTATACTTTGTTACAAAAGTATGTAATATATATATATATATATATATATATATATATATATATATATATATATATATATATATATATATATATATATATATATATATATATATATATATATATATATATATATATATATATATATATATATATATATATATATGTGTACATGCAGCAGACATTCTAAGAGTTAGGTTAGATTTATTCCTAATTACATTCACTCGTTTAGTCTTCAATATTTGATTTGCCATGAATATTGTAAACAAAATATATTGACAACTTTATTGGTGAATTACATTTAGTTGTTAAAATATTTGGTATGGAAAATACATTGTTTCCTGGAATCATTAGCTTCTCTAGGTTTAAATGAATAGCATTGACTATGTACTTATTGAATATGTACATAATCGTGTACATAATATGTACATAGTATGTACATAATACTATGTACGTTGATTATGTACATAATTAGTACATAGTGATGTTTATTTAAATCAAGAGAAGCTAATATTTTCATAATAATTTGCTGTGATAATGGCGGCTCTACAATGATATTCATGACTGCCAAGAGAGCACGAGGATCCCTCCAGACATGTAGCTCTCCGTAAACCATAAGTAAGTCCAGTTTTCTCTACTAACCAAACCATCGTTGGGCTGGTCATGCTGAATGTAAATACTAAATGTGTGTCTGTAACTCGCAATAAATATATATTTTAAAACAGACAAATAAAACAATACATAAATATAGCATCTTAGAAATTGTTACAAAGTTTATTGAAACTGCTAATCATTACAAGTAAGTGAAAGCAATGATGTTTTATTTTCTGCCGCAGTCATAAGAAGTAACTGTCTTTCGTCACATCTGACTTTAAATACTCCTAAACAATAAATTTAACATATTCCTGTATTAATTAAATATCAAATTTAACATATTCCTGTATTAATTAAATATCAAATTTAACATATTCCTTTAGGCAAATATTACTGAATGTGACCGATAGGGTGAGATCAATGATTCTAGCGCTAATTTTTCTCTATTTTCCTTAGATTAAAGTTAAGCACTGAATTTTGAGTAAGTATAACCATTAGTCGTAACAATTATGTGTAAAAGTACTCCATGAATTATCGCGATTCAAGGATGCACTTCCCCAAAATTCAGTGCTTAACTTTACCCATGAACTAGGCATCGATGGTACACTCCCTTTCTTCAATGTCTAAGTGAGAACAAAAGGCAACACTTTCACCACAGAAGTTTACGCTAAATCCACCAACAATGGAATGTGTAGCAATGGTCACAGTGCGTGCCCAGACAGATATAAGTCAACTCTACCGAGATCTCCCTGCCCACTGTCTTACCCAGTGATTGGTTAGCACCCTTTCCCCTTATTTACCCGCTTTTCCCCAATTTCTTACCCTTTGTTTGATATCCCTTATATTTATTTGACCCTTCACCTCACCCTACACACACAGGCAGGCTGGCAGCCAAGTTGGCTGGCTAGCTGGCAGGCAAGCAGGCTAGCTGGCAGGCAAGCAGGCTAGATGGCAGGCAAGCAGGCTAGCTGGCAGGCGAGAGGTGAATTACGAGCTGGGTCATGTGTTACAGAGGTGAGGCTGCAGTAAATTGTTGCGAGGATGATTGGAGGAATTCTCTTGATATATCATTTCAGTGTATTTCTTTGATTTATTATATGTTTGTTTATAGATTTTTCCTCACACCTCTGTGTGATGTGTAAGAGAGATGACGAGATTATCCTTCGTACTGACAATAATCGCTCCAGATAAAATAATTTTGGAAGTAATAAAGGGGTAAGGACTGAGAGAAGGACACCCGAGTACATTTGGGAAAGAGACAGTGACTAGTATGCTTAGCCGTTATGATGACAGGTATAGTTCCCGTGTGTGTGTCGTCTCTACTGTTCCCTAGAACTACCGAAGTGGCAATGCACTGGTGTTAGTTTCTCCATTATGTCCAATATTCCGATTTGTCTTGTACTATCGGAATCCGTAATTATGTTTTATCTCTACGAGGATACTTAGCTACGAACCTGGAGGTAAGAAAAGCCATTTGGAGTGACAAATGAACAACCTTTATCTCTGCCAGAAGGTGTATATCAGTCAGGGAAACTGTAATCTGCGTTAATAGAAGACTTCAGCTGCCGCCTTCCCACGTGGATAACGCAAGGTCACACTAGTAGAGAAGGTGGAGGTTTACTCGTTCCGTTATAAAGCGACCAGGTACTTGGTGAAGACGGTGAGGTGACAGCACACTTCACCAGGAGACCTGGTTAAGAGACTCGTAGCACCACACTACTGTCACCACCACCTGAGACCTGCACCACCAGCTGAGGTCACCACCAGCTGAGGTCTCCACCAGCTGAGGTCACGACCACCCGACGTTACCACCAGCTGAGGTGAACACCAACTGAGGTCACCATGTTCGTGCCAGTTCTGCTGGTCATCAACCTCTTGACGCAGGTGGAGGCCGGTGAGTGGTATTGGACATATTGTATAGTAGTCAGCATAACTATAATCATATTTTCACTTGGAATGAGAACAGAACAGTACATTTGTAAGTAAATTGGTGTAACGTTGGGAATTGGAGTAGCGTTCCAAACGCTTGGACAGCGTTCCAGACCCTTGGACGGTGTTCCAATCACCCGGACGGTGTTCCAGACACCCGGACGGTGTTCCAGACACCCGGGCGGTGTTCCAGACACCCGGACGGTGTTCCAGTCACCTGGACGGTGTTCCAGATACCCGGACGGTGTTCCAATCACCCGGACGGTGTTCCAGACACCCGGGCGGTGTTCCAGATACCCGGACGGTGTTCCAGACACCCGGACGGTGTTCCAGACACCCGGACGGTGTTCCAGACACCCGGACGGTGTTCCAGACACCCGGACGGTGTTCCAGACACCCGGGCGGTGTTCCAATCACCCGGACGGTGTTCCAGACACCCGGACGGTGTTCCAGATACCCGAACGGTGTTCCAATCACCCGGACGGTGTTCCAGACACCCGGGCGGTGTTCCAGACACCCGGACGGTGTTCCAATCACCCGGACGGTGTTCCAGACACCCGGATGGTGTTCCAGACACCCGGGCGGTGTTCCAATCACCCGGACGGTGTTCCAGACACCCGGACGGTGTTCCAGACACCCGGACGGTGTTCCAGACACCCGGGCGGTGTTCCAATCACCCGGGCGGTGTTCCAATCACCCGGACGGTGTTCCAGACACCCGGACGGTGTTCCAGATACCCGGACGGTGTTCCAATCACCCGGACGGTGTTCCAGACACCCGGGCGGTGTTCCAGACACCCGGACGGTGTTCCAATCACGCGGACGGTGTTCCAGACACCCGGGCGGTGTTCCAGACACCCGGGCGGTGTTCCAATCACCCGGACGGTGTTCCAGACACCCGGACGGTGTTCCAGACACCCGGGCGGTGTTCCAATCACCCGGACGGTGTTCCAGACACCCGGGCGGTGTTCAAGACACCCGGGCGGTGTTCCAATCACCCGGACGGTGTTCCAGTCACCCGGACGGTGTTCCAGACACCCGGACGGTGTTCCAGTCACCCGGACGGTGTTCCAGTCACCCGGGCAGTTATCCAGTCACCCGGGCCGTGTTCCAGACACCCGGGCGGTGTTCCAGAAACCCAGGCGGTGTTCCAGGCACCCGGACGGTGTTCCAGTCACCCGGACGGTGTTCCAGTCACCCGGACGGTGTTCCAGTCACCCGGACGGTGTTCCAGTCACCCGGACGGTGTTCCAGTCACCCGGACGGTGTTCCAGACACCCGGGCGGTGTTCCAATCACCCGGACGGTGTTCCAGACACCCGGACGGTGTTCCAGACACCCGGACGGTGTTCCAGTCACCCGGACGGTGTTCCAGACACCCGGGCGGTGTTCCAGACACCCGGACGGTGTTCCAGACACCCGGGCGGTGTTCCAATCACCCGGACGGTGTTCCAGTCACCCGGACGGTGTTCCAGACACCCGGGCGGTGTTCCAGTCACCCGGGCGGTGTTCCAGTCACCCGGGCGGTGTTCCAGACACCCGGGCGGTGTTCCAGACACCCGGACGGTGTTCCAGTCACCCGGACGGTGTTCCAGTCACCCGGACGGTGTTCCAGTCACCCGGACGGTGTTCCAGTCACCCGGACGGTGTTCCAGTCACCCGGACGGTGTTCCAGTCACCCAGACGGTGTTCCAGACACCCGGACGGTGTTCCAGTCACCCGGACGGTGTTCCAGACACCCGGGCGGTGTTCCAATCACCCGGACGGTGTTCCAGTCACCCGGACGGTGTTCCAGTCACCCGGACGGTGTTCCAGACACCCGGGCGGTGTTCCAATCACCCGGACGGTGTTCCAATCACCCGGACGGTGTTCTAGTCACCCGGACGGTGTTCCAGACACCCGGACGGTGTTCCAGTCACCCGGACGGTGTTCCAGACACCCGGACGGTGTTCCAGACACCCGGACGGTGTTCCAGTCACCCGGACGGTGTTCCAGTCACCCGGACGGTGTTCCAGTCACCCGGACGGTGTTCCAGTCACCCGGACGGTGTTCCAGTCACCCGGACGGTGTTCCAGTCACCCGGACGGTGTTCCAGTCACCCGGACGGTGTTCCAGACACCCGGACGGTGTTCCAGACACCTGAACAGTCTTACTACAAGATGAAAACAAGGGCTCCCATATAAAGCAAGGACATTCTTAAATCGATTGTGATGATAGGAAAGAGGCAAAGGCAATAAATAGGCGAGAGAGAGGTGAGGAGAAGGAAATCTTACAGGAATAAAACAGGCAACAGGTATGGAAGGTAAGGTGTAATAAAGAGGATAGTAATTGGATAATAAAGGAAATGTAAGAACAAGGTAAAGAAAAAAAAAGAAAGATAAACCGAAGTGTTAGCTTTCGATAGGTCACATTTGTTGGAAAGTTTTGAACATTTGAGAATATACTGTGAAAGGGAAGAGTCAACAGCAACAGCTCTTCCCTCTCACAATATATTCTCAAATGTTCTAAACTTTCTAACAAACGTGACCTGACATAAGCTTACCCTTCCTTTTATCATTCTTTCTTTTTCTTTACCTTGTTTTCTTCTTACGTTCCATTTCTTATTCCTATTACTATCCTCTTTATTAAACCTTACCTTCCGTACCTGTTGCCTTGCTTTTTTCCCTGTAAGATTTCCTTCTTCTCACCTCTCTCTCGCCTATTTATTGCCTTTGCCTTCTTCCTCTCATCACAATCGACTTGATAATGGTCCAAGACCGACCGAAACGTCGTCGTCTCTTCACTTTATTGTGTGTGGTTTGGTCATCATTTTTCAGCCACGTTATTGTGACTCCTCTTCTGCACAATCTTAAAGTATGCTCAACAAGCTAAGCAGTATATATGACAGATAATATAATATTTAAATACTGGAATTATGATTTACCAGTGTATAAGAAAGACTTTAATATTGTTAAAATAAGGGTATATCTAGAACAGAACTTGGGTGATATGACTGAATGTTGAAGAGTTTTACTCCTGAAGTAAAGCAGGACTTCCTTATTGACTGAGCTGCTGAAAACAGCTTGTGTAACCTAACTAATTATTTTATGGCTGATGTAATTGGTGGATTTATGGCTGATGTGATTGGTTGCCTCATGAGTGACGTAATTGGTTAACTCATGGCTGACGTGACTCATGAGTCACGTGACTGGTTGACTAATGAGTGACGTGACTGGTTGACTCAAGGGTGTTGGGACTTGTTGACTCGTGGCTGACGTGACTGGTTGACTCATGGCTGACGTGACTGGTTGACTCTTGGCTGACGTGACTGGTTGACTCATGGCTGACGTGACTGGTTGACTCATGACTGACGTGACTGGTTGACTCATGGGTGATGTGAGGGGTCACCTTCACACCCATCACTAACTATGCTCATCTCCTGGTGCGGGCCGTGACGCAGGTAAGTCATCGTGCCCTGAGCCCTTCGTCAGGATCGGGGAGGGCTGCTACTACTTGTCTCAGACGGCAATGACGTGGAGCGAGGCGCGGGGGTACTGCCAGGACCTCCTGCCAGGGGAGGACGCCGACCTGGCCGTCTTCGAGACCTACTGCAACGACTACTCCCACATAGCTTCCTACGCCCTTAATACCGGTAGTGACACCTTACTGTTTTTTCTTTAGTGTAATTGTGTACACTTGCCTAGTTCTCTGTGTTACACCAAGCTGTGACAGCTGGCGTCAAGCTGTGTGAGCTGGCGTCAAGCTGTGTGAGCTGGCGTCAAGCTGTGCGAGCTGGCGTCAAGCTGTGTGAGCTGGCGTCAAGCTGTGCGAGCTGGCGTCAAGCTACTACGTCGTACCTCTCAAGAACATCAGAATAAATGTGACTGCAGAACGTCTATTAATCCATTCTAGGCAGGTTATATTTATATCCACGTAGATTCTTTCATAAATGTAAGTAAGTAATTATCAGAAGAAGGCACCAAACCGGGAAGGCTATGTAGCACCATCAAATGTGCGGAATAATCAGAGGGCGCTAAATATTACCAAGGACGCCAATACGAGAACAGAAACGCATAAGGCGAACGATATCAAAAGTATCCGATTCACCAAGAATTCTATCGAGTGACAAGTGACCGCGAGGGGCGGTCGGAAAGCAAGACACACGCTCGTCCTGGAAGTCGGGATATTCAACAAGGATATGCACAAGGAGGAGTAAAAGCTTTTGTAATGCGGGTCAATCATGTACAAAACTTTGGAAGGGGTACCATCCACGGGGGCAAGGAAGGAACAATACGAGGAGAAATATGAGAAAGATGAATGGAAAGAGAGACCTGTAAGCGAGATAGACGGACAGAAACAGGGAGGTGGTGAAGAGGAAAAGAAACTACAGGAGGGATAAAAGTCAAAGCACGACAAAGGCGAGAAGAAGGATGTTGCAAGGACCGCGCCAGATAGCGAAGACAGTAGCGATCACGGCGGTCCTGGAGAGATAGGAATCCAGTGCCAACATACAAGCTGAGGACTGGAGTCGAACGAATAGCACCAGAGCTGAGGTGCAACCCAGCATAGTGCAAAGCATCAAGAAGGCGAAGAGTAGAAGGAGAAGCGGACAAGTAAGTAGGGCAACCATAATTGAGTTTAGACAGAACGAGTGAGGAATTTAAAGAGAGGAGCGTATGCCTATCCGCCCCCCAAGAAGTATGGGACAAAACCTTAAGGAGGGAAAGTCCTGAGAGCATTCAGCAAAGAGGTAAGAAAAATGGGCTGACCAAGATAAACGAGTGTCAAAACTTAACCCCAGAAGCTTAGTGGAATCCTTGGACACAAGGGGATGTCCATAAAGTGACAAAGAGGGACGAAGAATGACATGCTTCTGAGTAAAAATCATAGCACAAGTCATAGACGCAGACAACTTGAAGCCATGATCGGTGGCCGTAAGACGACATGGCACCAATCGCCATTTGAAGCCGCCGTTGAAGGAGAGGCGAATCATCACCCCGATAGTAAAGGGTAAGATCGTCTACATAGAGAGCGGAGAAGACACCAGAAGGAAGGGAGGAAAGAAGGCCATTGAGAGCAACAAGAAAAGAGTAGTGCACAGAACACTACCTTGGGGCACACCCTCATATTGCCGAAAAGGGGCAGAGAGAATGGTACCGAGCCTCACTCGCAAGGAACGACGAGAGAGGAAACTTTGGAAGAGAGGGAGATTCCCACGAAGGCCAAAAGAATGAAGTTGGGACAGAATATGATACTGCCAGGTAGTGTCGTAAACCTTTTCCAGGTCAAAAAGAACGGCAACAACGGAGGTCTTTGCAGCAAAAGCAGTACAAATATAGACCTCCAAGTTCAACAGGACATCTGTCATACTGCGGCGCTTGCGAAAACCAAATTGAGAAGGGGGAAAGGAGGTGATAGTGCTCTAAGAACCACATCAGGTGAACGTTAACCATACGTTCAAAAAGCTTGCAGACACAACTCGTGAGGGCAATAGGGCGGAAGTCCTTGGGGGATGACCCGAGAGACCCTGGTTTCTGAACAGGGAGGACAACAGCATCGAGCCAGTCCTCAGGGACTGACGACGACTCCCAGACCCGATTAAACAGACTCAGTAAATACTGAGACGAGCACGGAGGAAGATGTTGAAGCATCTCATAATGAATGCCATCGGAGCCTGCCGCCGTAGAACTGCAGAGGGCCTGCACTTCTGCGTTCCCGAGGGAAGAGCGTGGAATAGAGTGGAGGGCAGCGTCGAAGACGGTCTCATAAAAAAGGAGGAGGGTACGAGGAAGAGGCTGAATGGAGAGAGAAAGGAATAGCCACGACAGCGACCAGGACGAGCACCAAGCATCGGCTCCTGGAGACAGACACAAAGGGGTGAAAATCGTGAAAGCAGAAGTTGGAGTTCAAGGAAATTGGCATAATAACCACGAACGTTCCATTGAAGAATAGACATCGACAAGAAGAGAAAGGACAGTGTGACGGTAACGCGTTGGTGTTCGGCTGTTTCAAAAGCTAGGGGTATGGCCTCGTCACATAAAGAAACAACAAGAGAAAATATGGAACTTTCATCTGTGGTAAGGTAATGGGAAGACACACAAAACACAAGTAAATTTAACAATGAAATTTTAATTACGTTAGAAAAGCAAAACATGAATAAAATAGACATAAAAATTGTAACAAAATCAATCAAACAAAATAATAAGAATAATCACTGGCAAAATGAAAAGTTACGTTAATACAAGTGAATAATATACAAGGAGAAATATGGTTGCAGGAATATTGGCTTTAAGCTGCCACCTCTCTTAGTACACGTAAGCCAGGACTTAGTCTACCAATGAGACGTGTTAACTTGTGGAAAGCACGGGATATTCTGAGGGCTGTAGGTCGTGGTGGCCCCAGACATCAGGTAGTGTGGCGGGTGGAGGAAGCAGGTGCGACAGGGCACCAGCCAATCAGCGATGTGCAGGCGACGAACAAGTAGTTCGCTGGTTAGAGTGGCGGAGGTGGAGCAGGTGTTCCTGGTGCTGAATACGTTTGCTCTCTGGGCAAACCTTGGTGTTGTATTTGTTGGATATTTCTTCCATATTAGTTGTATAGGGACGTACTTAGGAGGGAAGAGCAGGCTCAATCTCTCTTGAAGGAGATTATTGTCACAACTCTCCCCCGAAGCCTGCGGTTCTGGAAGAAGTACGTCGTTATGTGGTGGAGTAATAGGTGGAGTCGCTTCTACTTCATAAACTCTGGAGAGAGCATCGGTTAAGATGTTGTCAGAACCTTGGTATAGCGGGTCTCCAGGTTGAATTTCTGCAGTTATCAAGCCCATAGTAGAAGACGTTGAGTTGAGAAGCGGGCGTGCTGCAGGAGGTGTAGGGTGGTGTGGTCCGTGTTGATGGTAGACCGAGCACTTTTCAGGTGTGGAGCAAAGTGCTGAAGCTTCAGGATGATGACGAGTAGCTCCTTGCCAATTGTACCGTAGTTCCTTGTAGCAGTAGTCGCTGGCAGGTGTATTCTCCTCGCCTCGTTGCTGCATCACGACACCACCAACGTCGGTACCACTGGCGTCGACATGGAGGATGAAGGGCTTATCTGACGAGGTGAGAGTGGAATTAGAATATGGCAAAGGAGCACTATTAGGGTCCTGAAAATGGTTGGGAATATCAATATGGATTTTGAATTAGAAAGCGCTGACTCCTTGTCAGTGCTTTCGGGAGGAGAAGCTGGGAAGGTCTCACTGTGGATGTAGGGTTCTGTGAAGGTAGAATAGTTTATCATGACAGTGGGAGGAGTACCATTATATAGCTTCAGGAGGTTGACGTGGCACAGCTGGGTCTTCCGCCGCCTATCTGGAGTCTCGAGAACGTAGTTATGGTTGTTTCTGCACTCCTTGATGCGGTAGGGTCCTGAAAACCTGTTTTGTAAAGGAGAACCTGGGATAGGGAAGTATGCTAGCACGAAGTCTCCCGGCTTAAATTTTCTCACTTTGCTGGTCTGGTCGTAATGAGTCTTCATCCTCTCCTGTGCTTTCAATAGATTATCATGGGCAAAACTGCGGACTCTCTCTAGAATGTGTTGAAGGTTTTGAAGAAACTGGGGCACATTCTGATGCTCACTGAAGGTGGCATCTCTTAGAGAGTCTTTGAAAGCCTTGAGGGGAGTACGGCACTTACGGCCGTAGAGCATCTCATAAGGAGATACTCCTAGGGACTCATTGGGAAGACTTCTATATATGCACATTATCAAATCAATTTGCTTATCCCAATCCTTAGAGGTTTCACTACAAAACTTTTTCAGGAGTGCTTTGATAGTCTGATGACTACGCTCAAGAGAACCCTGTGAAGCAGGATGATAGGGGCTGGACAATACCTGTTTGATGTTGAACTCCTCCAGTGTCCTTTTGAAGAGATCACTGGTGAAATTGGTACCACAGTCGCTCTGAATCTCCCTGGGAAATCCATATTGAGTGAAGATCTTCAATAAATGCTTTACAACCGTAGCAGCCGTGATGTTCTTCACTGGAACTGCTATGGGAACTCTGGTGGTAGGACACAGGATGGTTAAGATATAGGCGTTACCTGAACTGGTCCGAGGTAAAGGACCAACACAGTCTATAATAAGTCTGTGGAAAGGTTCCGCAGGCACCTGTATGGGAATCAGTGGCGCTCTGGGAATGGAGATGTTCGGTTTGCCTGCCATCTGACATGTATGACACTGTTTTACGTACTGTTTGACGCTATTTACCATACCTGGCCAGTAGTAGTCTTGACGAATTCCATGGTAAGTCTTGTTGAATCCGTAGTGGGAGAGTGCTCCGTGGGCCAGGTGTAGAATAGTGGGCCGCAGGCTGGCAGGAATCACAAGTTGTTCGATGTTGGCCCAATCGTCCTCCTCCTTCAGTTTACTGGGTCTATATCTGCGGTAGAGCAAGTCGTTCTCTAGGAAGAACCCAGGAATACTGTCGGGTTGAGTCTCAGCCTGGAAAAACAATGGTGTTAAGGTAAGATCTTCCCTCTGCAACTTACGGAACTCCAACTTGGTCAGATTCGGGGGTAGTTTCTGAGGGTCTTGAGGGACAGCGGTAGCAGTAGAGTCAGCTGGCTGTGTACGTGCGGCTTGTGCATGGGTGGTCACTAGAACCGGAGGAGAAACTTC